GAAAACCATTTTTCCTAGATTTCGAGATGATTCCGCGCGCGCCCAGTTCAAACGAGACTACTGTAGATCGGTGCGGTTTCCAACTGGCTGTAAAACTGCATGCGCCTTGAAAATTCTCAATGTTCAGAATTTTCCTTTTTGGAGGAATTTTCTTGAGGAATTTTGACTGTTCTTCATTATGAATTTGGATGAAGAATAACATTTTTATTAAGCCCTGAAATAGTTCCTTCTAAATAGTATTTCTATTCACCAGCTCGTGGTCAGTTAATGTCATACATGTTATTACCTCGGAATCGGTGGAGTCTCCGATTTTTCTGCACATTTGGACACGGTCATGAGGGGGCGGAGCCTAAATTGCAACCCTGGCACGGTTTTGCAGCACGGTTTTTTAAAAATAAGTTTGAAGTGGAGGCGGGTTTGATCTAGATCATGATCTATTTCTTCAAAATCAACTGGTTGCGAGGCGCGCTTTTTCGCTCTTCATTTAAAACTGTGAAACTCAGCCAACGAAATTCGGCAGCGAATTTAGAATTTTTCCTAAGTTTACTGGGGCGCGCTTTCTGACCCTCTCGCTTGAACCCAAGTGAGGTCCCACTTTTTTAAATTAGACAATAGAAGTTTAGTTAGTATTGGAGAGAACAAGTTGTAGTAGAAGGAAAGGAATAATTTTATTTCAATAGCAATCAAAGTGCAATGAAAAAATGTCTATTTAGTTATGAAATCTGTCCAAGCTCTGGATAAGTCCGAGGAATTGACCGATCGCTTTTTGTGCTCTGTACGGAAGAATTCTGAAAGTAAAATAGTTGTCTCGTGCTTCAAATATTTTAAACCCACTGAGTGCCAGGAAGAATCCAATAAAAACTTTTAGGCGTCACTAGATACTCTTGTTCTGTTTCTATCGCTTCGTAAATCTTTTGAACAACGTATTCAGTGTCAAGGATCGGGAATATGGAAGGGAACCTAGTTGTGGCTCCAGTAGCATCAAACATCGAAGTGTGAACGTAGTATGGGCACACTAGTGTGGTCTTAACTCCTTCTTTTCCACTGGCCATAATTTCAGCCACAAGAGAATCGTGGAACCCAACGGCAGCATGTTTTGTAGATGTGTAGTCTGCCTGGAAAAGAGAAGGTAATCGAAGAAATGGATTCCGAAAAACCTACCAATCCAGCTGAACCCATTTTTCCTGCTACCGAAGCGATAGTGACCACATGTCCATTGTCTTCTTCCAGCATTGGTGGTAGAAACTGTTGAACAGTCTGAAAGATATAACATTTGAAGCAGATTACATCTGATATTATTCTGGTGCAAAAAATCAGAGATGTGGAAGAGAAACGACTTTGAACCGAAGGTCCCACAAACTACCGTAACCTAAAAAATTTTTCATTCTCCTGATTTATTTTCTCGGGTTTTCTGCGTTTTCAGTCAAATTTTTGCTTTTTTTGGGAAAAAAACCGAAAAATCGACGAAAGTCACTGGAAAACGAGAAAATGAATCCGGAAAGTAAAAATGTTTTCAGGTTAATGTTGTTATCGTTGTAGGACCTTCTTCTACAGCCTCGATGTTTTCATACAAGCATAAAATCTCTAACATCATTTAACATACATAAAAATGAGCCTTGACATTGACGTCAAACGAGGTCTCGATATCTTTCACATTGCTATCCAAAATCATTTTGGCTGTAAAATTATTATGCTTTCCGGAGTGCACTTCCATTGAAAACTTACCAGTAGCAACACCAGCATTATTAACCAATATATCAACTTTTCCAATATCTCTGAGTACTTGCTGTCCTACTGTTGATATTTTATTTGGGTCACACAGATTCACTTCATAGGAATGGGCCTGGAATTGGTTCAATCGAAATTACTGTACCCTTTGTTTTAACTCACTTTAACTCCGTTACTCTTAAACTCATCTTTCAGATCATCCACCGATTTTAAGTTGATATCCCATAGAATCAATTCAGCACCCTGAGCTGCAAACTTTCGAGACAAGAGCTTGCCGAGTCCACTTCCAGCTCCAGTAATCAGAATTCTCTTCCCGTGAAATTCTTTTTTTGGAAGGAGAGAGTATGGGAGAACGTATTTGTAGAAGGAAATCAAGTGGAATCGAATTAGATCTATAAACAGAAGTAATGCCTCTAGAATGAGATCAAACATTTTCAAAGCAATAGAAAAATACGATTCGGGGAAGAGACAGTCCAAAAAAGTAAACCAAAGATGGTATCAACGACATAAAAGAAGTATAACGATAATATACGCAGAGAAAGAGAGATACGAGAATTTTATGGAACAAAAATGACTGATAAGATAGAAATATTGGGGTTATAAATCAAACATCAGTTTGGAACATTGAATAGAATATGAGAAGTTTCTACAAATTTGCAAAGAATAGAGGTACCTTGTAAATTTGTGTATGTCATAGAAAATTTAAAGAAGGATTTCGACTTATTTATTGTTGAAGAGGGATGTTTCTGATTTTCCAATCTTTTTGGATTTTTTTAAAAATTAATGGTGGCGGCTGAAGTGGCGCCAACAGGTGAACATCGTCTAGTCGCCACCCTGGCAATGCAAGCGGGTCGTTGACGGCTCGTCGACGGACCATTCGACTATTCGTTCATTGTGAATATGGTTAGAATTTTTGAACAAAAATGTGCTAGATATGAACCTGTTAACCGCGAAGTTGTATTTTCATATTGTCTATTCAATAAAACGGCGNGATTNTTTTTTTTGAAATGACACTTTTCTAAGAATTCAAAAGCAGGAAAAAGACCAAAAATTAATTAGAATACATAAATTTTGAAAAATAGCCATAATATTTAGTAGTAACTGATTTCTAACCGGAGAACACTATTTTTAGTCTTGAAAAGCTGAAATTTTAGCTGAACACAAT